GCTGCAAAGACCATCGCTATCCCCCCTCCTGCTGACGTGCAAAGAAACGCTGGATCCAGATCTCGTCGAATCAATGACTCTCTTAAGCCCGCCGTCCTCTCCAAAGACGCAAGCCCGACCGAGTTAAGACATTGGATCGATTCGTTCAAAGCGTACTACTCCTCGAACGATATGGACGATTTCAGTAAAGAAGAAAGGCGCTCCTATTTCAAAATATTATTAGATTCAGACCTCAAAACGAGAATCATGGCAAAAATGAATGATACTACCGACGTTTTCGGCGAAGACGGTTGCATCCAGCTCCTCGAAAATGACTTCCTGGGTCGCTACCCATTGTTCTCCCGAAGACTTGATTTCTTTCAATATCAACAAAAAAACGGCCAAGCCTTTACGGATTTCGTGGCGAAATCAAAGGAACTCTCCAGATTGGCCGATCTTGAAAAGCTATCAGTTGAAGAAATCTTCGTCTTCTGTCTGCTTCGAGGCACCACCGACTCTGCTCTTCTCGACGACCTCCTGGAACTGCCAGAAAAAACGCTAAAAAACGTGGAAAATACGGGCAAGATGTACGAAAGTAAACTGATATCTCGATCAAAGCTCAACGCTAATCTCAACGAACCCGTATTGAAAGTAACTTCTCAATACCAACGCCGCAACCAAGTAAAGCCAAAACCGAGACAAGATCAAGATCGTTTCGAAAGAAGAATGCCAACGTCCCAAAAACATCCAACCACCATACGGGAAATGAAAGAACGCGGCATTTGCACAAGATGCGGCAAAGGGAACCACATCGCAAACGAATGTTCATATGAACGCAACGTCATTTGCAACCACTGTGGAATCAAAGGCCACATCGCGCCCGCTTGCCTAAGCCGTGTCAAAGTAAACGCCGTCCAAGCTGAACGCCCCAATGATCGCCCAAGAAATACCGACCGACCTAGAGACCCCTCCCCTTCCGCCAGCTCCGTCTCCGATTGACGCTCCGGGGAAAGGATTGAAACCATCTGCAATCTCAATAAAAGCCCCCGAATGAACGTACTTGTTCAAGATGGTATCACCAGCAATTCTTTTAATTTCCAATGTTTGGCGGATACAGGCTCAGAGTCGACTTTAATTTCACAAGATTTGGTATCGATCCATGATTTCGCCACTTCCCCAAATCACAACATCAAACTCGTAGCCGCAAACCGGTCTCCCCTCCATTGCGATAACAAAGTTT